ACTTTTGAACAATAAACCTGTTGTTGTTATATCCAGATTCATTGGATTTCTGCATACTCAAATTCATTTCTTTAATAAATCTGCAAGTGTGTTTAAGAAAATGTTGAATTTCCTAAACTTCTAAATTTCGACAGAATAAAGCAGTGTGTTTGGTATTATCTTGTTCTGTGAGAATAAGTGTGTTTGGTATTAACTTGTTCTGTGACGGTAAGTGTGTTTGGTATTAACTTGTTCTGTGGCGGTAAGTGTGTTTGGTATATCTTGTTCTGTGAGAGTAAGTGTGATTGGAAATAAACTTTTTCTGTGAGGGTGAGTATGTTTGGTATTCACTATTAGGGTAAGTGTGTTTAGTATTAACTGTTTCTGTGAGGGTAAGTGTGTTTGGTATTAACTATTTCTATAAGGGTAAGTTTGTTTGGTATTCACTATTTCTATAAGGGTAAGTGTGTTTGGTATTAACTATTTCTGTGTGGGTAAGTGTGTTTGGTATTAACTGTTTCTGTGAGGATATGTGTGTTTGGTATTAACTATTTCTGTGTGGGTAAGTGTGTTTGGTATTAGCTATTTCTGTTTTGGTGTGTGTGTGTGGTATCATCTGTTGTGTGTGGGAAAGTGTGTTTGGCTTAAACTATTTCTGTGAGGGTAAGTGTTTTTGGTATTAACTATTTTTGTGTGGGTAAGTGTGTTTGGTATTAACTGTTTCTGTGAGGATATGTGTGTTTGGTATTAACTATTTCTGTGTGGGTAAGTGTGTTTGGTATAAACTGTTTCTGTTTGGGTATGTGTGTTTGGTATAAACTGTTTCTGTTTGGGTATGTGTGTTTGGTATAAAATGTTTCTGTTTGGGTAAGTGTGTTTGGTATTAGCTATTTCTGTTTTGGTGTGTGTGTGTGGTATTAGCTATTTCTGTTTTGGTGTGTGTGTGTGGTTTAAACTATTTCTTTGAGGGTAAGTGTTTGTGAGTAAGTGTTTTTTGGTATTAAATGGTTCTGTGAGGGTAAGTGTGTTCGGTTTTCCCGATTTCTGTGAGGGTAAGTGAATTTGGTATATACTTATTCTATGTGCGTAATTGTGTTTGGTAAAAAAAAATTCTGTCGGGGTAAGTGTGTTTGGTATAAACTGTTTCTGTTTTGGTAAGTGCGTTTGGTATTAACTATTTCTGTTTTGGTATGTGTGTGTGTGGTATTATCTGTTGTTTGTGGGAAAGTGTGTGTGGTTTAAACTATTTCTTTGAGGGTAAGTGTTTTTGGTATTAACTATTTCTGTGTGGGTAAGTGTGTTTGGCATTTACTATTTCTGTGTGGGCATGTATGATTGGTACTCACTATTTCTGTGGGGGTAAATGTTTGGTAGTGTCTGTTCTGTGTGAGTAATTGTGTTTGGTATTAAATGTTTCTGTGAGGGTAAGTGTGTTTGGTTGAAACTATTTCTGTGAGGGTAAGTGTGTTTGGTATCAAATGTTTCTGTGTGGGCAAGTGTGTTTGATATTTACTATTTCTGTGAGGGTAAGTGTGTTCGGTTTTCCCGATTTCTGTGAGGGTTAGTGAATTTGGTATATACTAATTCTATGTGCGTAATTGTGTTTGGTAAAAATTATTTCTGTCAGGGTAAGTGTGTTTGGTATTAACTATTTATGTGTGGGTAAGTGTGTTTGGTATAAACTGTTTCTGTTTTGGTAAGTGCGTTTGGTATTAACTATTTCTGTTTTGGTATGTGTGTGTGTGGTATCATTTGTTGTGTGTGGGAAAGTGTGTTTGGTTTAAACTATTTCTTTGAGGGTAAGTGTTTTCGGTATTAACTATTTCTGTGTGGGTAAGTGTGTTTGGCATTTACTATTTCTGTGGGGGTAAATGTTTGGTAGTGTCCGTTCTGTGTGAGTAATTGTGTTTGGTATTAAATGTTTCTGTGAGGGTAAGTGTGTTTGGTATTAACGATTTCTGTGAGGGCAAATGAATTTGGTATATACTAATTGGTAAAAATTATTTCTATGAGGGTACGTGTATTTGGTACTATGTTGTTCTGTGAGAGTAAGTGTGTTTGGTATAAATTATTCCTGTGAGGTAAGTGTTTGGTAGTGTCTGTTCTGTGTGGGTAAGTGTATTTGGTGTCTGAATAATAACTGGTTTCAGGACTTCCCATCATTTGTAAGACACATGTTTTTCTTGTCGTATTTTCGTGTCGTCATTTCCGTATTGCTTATCTCACACCCCATTACCTTAGTGTAAATTATAGTAACACCGGGTAATCAATATTACACGTGCATGACGATGATATGTCAACACCTGATATCAAGACTTAACTTGGAAATGTGTAATCACACGTACTTCTAAAATAAAGCTTATGATACAAAGACATTAATTAACTCACTGGAAGACACTGACATAAGATCAGACGACTTTAAGAAGGTCGTAAATGAGGCGCATGGATTGGAGACTGATGTGTTTTGTTTACCGACCTCACCTGTACATATCACGTGCTACCAGTAGTTCACAAGCTCTTGGTCGTAGGCTCCGACTTTTTTGTTGTCGAGCGAGTTACGCTCTGTCAGATAAATCGTTTCATAAATGCAATTACAATAAGTCTGTGAAAATAGCGGTTTGTAAAATATGAAGATCCCTATAAAATGCAAGTGCTTGTGCGTGCACGTGATAACGGCATACCATGCGATAGCCTATGGTTACATATGTACCGGACGTGTAAATATACCATGCGTAAGCGGGCAATGGAATGATGTCCAAAGTGTACATGATTGAGAGTGACTTTGTTACATAAAAGAACAGTAAATTGACAATCAAATAAAATAATTTAATTTATTTCGGTCGTTTTTGGTATAGTAAAGAAAATAAATGTCATTGTATAAATTCTATCCCTCTGTAAAACGTTCCGATTTTTTTCAAGGTAGACAACTCTCATCAGGATAAAAGTTATTGTAAAATGTAAAGTAAATGAATTATAAAGACTTTGTGTGTATTTGGTTCAATTTTTCACTCTTTTTGTGTGACACTATGTGTCCTGTTTTCTTTAAGCTTGTATTTAGTAAATTTTATCCATAGAATTTCAATAAAAAACGCTTGTTGTAACATGTTTTAGATATTTTATTGTAAATAAAATATTTGTAGGGTTGAATAGCTATGTTTCTTTTCATTAATTTATTGTTGTAATAGTTTTGAACAATGCCACACACTCAAAAAATGTGTAAGTGTTGAATTTGATAAAAATTCAATTTTTCCGTACATGTATTTTTTGCAAAAAAATCCCCAGATTATCGGAATGCTTAGATTTTCAAAAAATCATCTCTGGATATTGACATAACCATTATGTGAAACTTTCATTGAATTCCGCTGACTAATTGCGAAAGGGTGGAGCCACCTTAAAAGCTGCAGCGAACACGTACTAGCCCGTTTTCCTTTATTAAAATGTAATTATTTACAATTATTATATATTATTACTGTTAAAATACAAAACTTGCTACCATTCCAAGTCTGTAATAAATTATCTTTTATTTACTTGTTTATGTATTACACGCTAACAAGCTTTACCTGTATTACACTTTACACTTTTTACCTTTATGACACGTCACCACTGTTTTCCTGTATTACACGTTACCATAGTTTATCTGTACTACATGTTACTGTATTACACGTTATAATTGTTTACATGTATTACACGTTGCTACTGTTTGCCTGTATTACACGCTACATTGTTTATCTGTATTACACGTTGCTACTGTTTGCCTGTATTACACGCTACACTGTTTATCTGTATTGCACGTTATCAATGTTTTTCTGTATTACACGTTGCTACTGTTTGCCTGTATTACACGCTACATTGTTTAACTGTATTACACGTTGCCACTGTACGTTATCACTGTTTACTTTTTCCTGAATACAAAATGATCCTATACAACTTATTATTGTTCACATAAATTGTTACATTGATAACAGGATATCACTGTATAACTGTATCACATGCTATAGGCTGATGTTGTTTGTGATTGCAGGTGATGAGAAGTGAGAGCGTCTCGGATAGTGTTACTGTCAATTTTCAGCTGAATACCTACAAATATAGCGGAGACAATTTCATGTGCAGGTCACCAATCTTTCTGATCCTAGTGGACGAAGGCAACGGGCAAGTGATTCATGATATTTCCCACTACTTACAACTTCTATATAACAACATTGCACTTTTTATTAGAAAAGTCGCTTCAGTTAGATACATCATAAAAATGTCTTGCATAAAGCGGATCATTATGGGTGGATTGGTCGAGTGGTGAACACTCCGGCCTTCCACACAGGCGGCCGGGGTTTGATCCCCGAAGTCGTCGTACGCATGGAAGGTGCTCTTCTCCTGCCAACACAACTCCAACAACCCAGATGGAGTGTAAATTGATCTGGGGATGATGTTGTAGTCTCTGTGCTCTAGCATTCAAGTGAGGTGGCACTATAAATGATGCCGTTGGAAGCACGGTCCTATAACAAATATAACACATTACATCTCCAGCACACACGCAGGCATACACTTATAGGGAGAGCTTAGCCAGGTGGCATAGGACTAGTAGTTAGCGTCTGATAAGGCAGCTCTTGCGAATTCCTCAAAATTGTACTGATTAATGTATATGCTAATTGTATTAATTTTAGTGTGGCTTATGCTAGCTAGATAGGCCGCTTTATCAAATGTTGTTTATTATTTTATTATCATTATTGTACATGTACATGGAACATTCTCGGTTATTTACATTTGAAAAGCATTGAAGACTTTTGGACGAGCGTACTAGTTTGTTAAAAAATAATACATAGTCCAAAAATATATGGTTATCAACCAATTAACTTTATGTATTATATCTTAGGGTTTGTGAAGAGGAATACGAGTACGTGGTCGATCGTGATTTCAAGAAATTCAACAATAGTTCACCCAGCGAAAATACCACTACGTCCTCCTCTCTGTTACTTCAATACCAATTTAGACAGATGAATTTTTCTCTTCCGAGACAGGAATATAGAAAGGTACCTACGTGTTTCTTTGGAAAATATATCTGATGATGATTTTATATCTAAATGTTTACCAAGACAGCACACCAGTTGATAATGTTTGTGTACATGTTACCCCAGACAATAAATCTAATGACGGTTTTCTGAGTAGATGTTGCCCCAGATAGTACATCTTATGATAATGTTCCATGTTCATGTCGCCCTAGGCAGAAAATCCCATGATGATGATTAATGTTCATGTTGCCCCAGACATTATGTCTTATGATGAGTTGTTGTGTAGATGTCACTCCAGAGTGTAAATCGTATGTTAATATGTTTCCACAGACATTACGCATAGCTGTGAAGCAGAAGTACAACAACACAAACGTTGTGACCGGCGAGGACGACCTTACACATTACTGCTCCAATGTCAGTACAGACAAGCTTGTCAGCCCATTTAACCTCCCGATACAATGCCAGCCTCACAAACAGTGTAGTTCCTGCAGGTAAAGTAGAGACTAAATATATGTATTTCGTGTTTTCAATTAATTTGGAACCCAATCTACTTGGAATTTGACAACCATCAGAAGCTGACTACAAGTATTTGATTTTATTTTAGTATTGACGTGACGTTGGTGGCGACGTGTCCTCAGCATTACTTTGGTGCGCAGTGTGACATCTACTGTTCACCCTCGGATAATACGACTGGACACTACACCTGTGGGCATGAGGGGGAAAAGAACTGTCTTCTCGGTAGGAACAGAGCTAAGATATATCTACACGGCAGCAATTGATGAACGATTGAGATGATTCAGGGTGTGGGTAAACAGGCCGTTCCCCTTGCTAGATTGTTGCAAAACCACGAAAGTATTTTTCATTTTTCATTTTTTTTTTTATTGTTTATCATTACAATCGTATTGTGATCGAAGAAGCAGACTTACCGTTCATAGAAGTATATTATACAGTATACCAAAGTTACATTGCACCTGATCTTTGGGAGGACAGGTCTTGACTTTGTTGATATGTCAGTTTGAACACATGGATTAATCTAATGTCAGCAAATAATATATCCAAACCATCCTACTTTCAAAATCCATCTACTTTTTTTCCAAATTCAAAATAACACATTAATGCAACGTATTGATCTCTTATCCTATCTTTGTTTGTAGAATCAATGGTCACGTTTTACTCCTCACCAGGATGTTCCACCCGTTGTACCCACTAAGTAGTATTTCGAACAATCCTTTTCTGCCTGTTCCATCTTCCCGTTTCTTTAGGATTTCGGGTACAACTCAGATTTCCCTCCGTAATTTCACCAGGGTTTGGGACCGGTATCATCTAAGCAGATTGGTAGTGTGCTGACTGCTCTGCGCCCCTCTGCGTCGGGGGCCGTGGAGAGATCGGTGTTTAAAAGGTCTATTAGGGCATTCAGGACCTCTCGGTCCAGGACGATACCTACTCCTGACACCTGTCCCCGTGCCCTCTTGGCCCCCGGAATATAAGACAGTTAATAATTTAGAGTCCGCTTTTGTTTAGATCTTCTTTAGGATATTTCGGTTTCCTTTTTCTTGAAATACTGTAACTTGTTTTCAACCCTCTTTAATTAGGTCATGGTCATGTGCAATTTGCGAATCTAATAGGTAATAAATTAATATTTTTAGAAGTATTGTGTTTGATATAAGGATATAAAATACATTTTGGTTTTGCTTTTGTAAACTAATTTTACTTTTATGATAAAGCTGCTTACCACGTGCAATGGGAGTCCCCATCGAGCTCCATGTCTCCTCTGGCACTTTTAGGTTCATAACCTTTATAATCCAATGTTGGTTTTAGAGGAACAGGGTTGGTGCGCGCATCGAACGGTCGTATGTCTTTGATTTGAAACAATGTATTTTGCAGTTTACGGGGGCTTTTGAAACTTTTGTTTGGAAGTTCAAGAACTTGAAGAAGTGGATTTATATAATACTTTAACGTAATTGGAAGTTTTATCAGGAATGTAGAGTTTACAATAAACAGAAAATAGTCATAGAATTTAAAAGCACACATTTCTATTTTTTAGATAATTATAACGCTTTGGAGATAATGTTTCCATTGTTTTTTTTTTTATATATCCAGATAACTCTATTCTCCAGATCCAAACCTGTACCTCCAAAGTGTATACCAACCTGTAAAGCACTAACTTTAACCGATATGAACTCTTGTTTGCTTTGTCAATTTACATACCGATACATAGAATAGAGTTTTGGACCAGGTAGACTGAGATTCTGGAAAGAACTAACTAAATAGTTTCACTAATTAGAACAAACTGTATCTTTATACTGATTACCTATTATACTGATGTAATTAACAACCCGTCATACTTGATATAACTTACTACAGTGTAGCATTTCTCAGAAAAGCTACAACGTGAAAGTATTTTCATTATGCAGGCTACGAGGGTGTAAACTGCACTGTCAATCCTCCGGACTGTGTCAACGTGCCCTGCCACAACGGAACATGCATCGACCTTGTAGCAAACTTCTCATGTAGCTGTTATACTGGTTACACTGGAGAGTTTTGTGAAGATAATATTGATGACTGTGTAAATGCTACTTGCCAAAACGGTGGATTGTGCCTCGATGGTATCGGAACTTACAATTGTTACTGTGGAAATGGATTTGATGGATTACACTGTGAAAATAACACTGATGATTGTGTAAATGCTACTTGCAAAAATGGTGGATCGTGCCTCGATGGTATCGGAAATTACACTTGTTCCTGTGTAAATGGATTTAATGGATTTCACTGTGAAAATAACACTGATGATTGTGTAAACATTACATGCCAGAATGGAGGAACGTGCCGCGATGGTATCGGGAAATACACTTGTATATGTAACGCTGGATTTGGTGGAATTTACTGTCAGCAATACGTAACAACTCAGAGTCCGACTGTGACGTCCCCACCAAAGGTAAGTGTGATTACGCCGTATTCATTATTAATGTAGGTTTTGTTTTTAATTCCATTCATGAGAACGCCACAGGTGACAAAGGGAATGTTACCCGTTTGAAGCACGTAGTTTCGTTTCCCCGCTTCCTCTTGCTGCGTTATTTATATACTTTTAGTTCGGCCCACCTGAATATTGACACTTGTTAATTTTGTTACAGTCCACTATTAATAAGGAACAACCTTCAACAACACAAAGACCGCCTGGTACACTGAAACCAAAGGTAAATATAAGTTCACTTATAAAACTCCTGGCTTCCTTTACCTATAAGTATGATACATTATCCTTTACCTCCTGATAAACTTTCTCTCTTTATTCCGTTTTTGCGATTTCCTTTTCATCCTACCAAAAGTTCTCCTCGTCCTCCCTAACATCCTCTCGCAGGTTCTCCTTTACCTTCTAACATACGATCTATCTTTACTCCTGTTAGGGGTTTCCTTTACATCCTATCACAAGTTCTCCTAGTCGTCCTCCTTAACATCTTCTCGCAGGTTCTCCTTTACATCCTCTCATGTGATATTCCACGCGTGACAAAGAAATTGCTAATTCAGCCGAAACACCTGGTTTTCTCGTCTGGTTCATGTTCGTCCATGACTGTTAAACATCTTTCCTATTTCGTTCCAGTCCACTTCCATTCTTCCATCAACACAAAGATCGTCTGTTACACTGCCGCCAGAGGTAAGCACACATATACTGTATTCATCAATAAATATTATGTCTCCACCCCCTGTCGGTATTTTATTCTTAACCACCTTATTACGTGTTATCCTTTTCCCTTTCACGTGTTTTCTTTTACATTCTTTTATGAGTTTTCCTTTTTCTCCAAAATAAGTTCACCTTTACTCCCTACCATAAGTCCCTTTTTAAATTAACATGGCGCTGGAAATGTTTACACAACCGCGGAACCTAGTTCCAATATCATGATTGATGTGAATATGCTATCTTACGAATTTAAGCTCGCAATTCGTCTAGGAAAGATGACGCTCTTGTCTATTTTGTTCCAGTCCTCTATCAGTAATGAACACACTTCATCAACACACAGATCAACTGTTTCACTACCGCCCGAGGTAAGTACATATACATGTACCATATTTACCGATAATTATAGTATCCTTTATCTCCTATGATGTGTGTACAGTTACCCCCTATTATCTTTGATAAATTATCATGATTTCTCCTTTACTTTCCCTCTGGTGTGTTCAGTAGCTTCCAATCACCAATAATAAGTTATCATGATTTCTCCTTAACTTTCCCTCTGATGTGTTCAGTAAACCCTCTAAGTTACCTTCTCGCACCTGTAATAAGTTATGACGAGTTTTCCTTATGTTCTGTCTTTGTTCCCTTCAACTTCACCCCGTCTCCCTAGTCTCTTTTACAACCCATAATGAGTTATTTTGCATCAAACTTGACGATGTTACACGCAGCACAAGCATAACCCAACCGGAACACACAGTTATGTCACTAAGTGTATGTTGTTGCCTTCGTCGTCCTTAAGTTCGGCTCTTTGCTTATTGACGCTGTGAAATATACTTTGTTCTAGTCCACTATAAATCGTGAACAATCCTCACCAACACACAGACCGCCTGTTACACAGCCACCTGAGGTCAGTATAAACATGGTTTATTTACCACTTGCGTACAGTTTTCTTTTCTTCATACTGTACCAATACTGCATTGTGTTATATCGTCACTCGTCCGAAGTTCTGTCACTCCTTCCATGTTGTCGTCTTTTCTGACACCTAATTTGGATCTCCTCCGTGTATGTTTCTGTTCTAGTCCACCAGCAATCTTGAACAAACTTTATCAACGCCCAGTCAGCCTATCAAAATATCACCTAAGGTGAGTAAGAATCTCATATTCACCAATACACCCTCTTTAATATCCTATCGACAACTCTCCTTTACCAACTATCATGATGTTTCCTTCACAGACTAGACTATCCTGACGGTTGCTACATGTCATGTGACAATGTTTCCTGTCCAAAGCTCCTTCTTTCATCTCTCCTAGTTCCAATATCATGATTGATGTGAATATGCTATCTTACGAATTTAAGCTCGCAATTCGTCTAGGAAAGTTGACGCTCTAGTCTATTTTGTTCCAGTCCTCTATCAGTAATGAACACACTTCATCAACACAAAGATCGTCTGTTACACTGCCGCCAGAGGTAAGCACACATATACTGTATTCATCAATAAATATTATGTCTCCACCCCCTGTCGGTATTTTATTTTTAACCACCTTATTACGTGTTATCCTTTTTCCCTTTCACGTGTTTTCTTTTACATTCTTTTATGAGTTTTCCTTTTTCTCCAAAATAAGTTCACCTTTACTCCCTACCATTAGTCCCTTTTTAAATTAACATGGCGCTGGAAATGTTTACACAACCGCGGAACCTAGTTCCAATATCATGATTGATGTGAATATGCTATCTTACGAATTTAAGCTCGCAATTCGTCTAGGAAAGTTGACGCTCTAGTCTATTTTGTTCCAGTCCTCTATCAGTAATGAACACACTTCATCAACACACAGAACAACTGTTTCACTACCGCCCGAGGTAAGTACATATTTACCGATAATTATAGTATCCTTTATCTCCTATGATGTGTGTGCAGTTACCCCCTATTATCTTTGATAAATTATCATGATTCCTCCTTTACTTTCCCTCTGGTGTGTTTAGTAGCTTCCAATCACCAATAATAAGTTATCATGATTTCTCCTTAACTTTCCCTCTGATGTGTTCAGTAAACCCTCTCATCCCCAATAACTCCTGTACCTTCTCTCAGTTGTGTTAAGTTACCTTCTCGCACCTGTAATAAGTTATGACGAGTTTTCCTTATGTTCTGTCTTTGTTCCCTTCAACTTCACCCCGTCTCCCTAGTCTCTTTTACAACCCATAATGAGTTATTTTGCATCAAACTTGACGATGTTACACGCAGCACAAGCATAACCCAACCGGAACACACAGTTATGTCACTAAGTGTATGTTGTTGCCTTCGTCGTCCTTAAGTTCGACTCTTTATTTATTGACGCTGTGAAATATACTTTGTTCTAGTCCACTATAAATCGTGAACAATCCTCACCAACACACAGACCGCCTGTTACACAGCCACCTGAGGTCAGTATTAACATGGTTTATTTACCACTTGCGTACAGTTTTCTTTTCTTCATACTGTACCAATACTGCATTGTGTTATATCGTCACTCGTCCGAAGTTCTGTCACTCCTTCCATGTTGTCGTCTTTTCTGACACCTAATTTGGATCTCCTCCGTGTATGTTTCTGTTCTAGTCCACCAGCAATCTTGAACAAACTTTATCAACGCCCAGTCAGCCTATCAAAATATCACCTAAGGTGAGGAAGAATCTCATATTCACCAATACACCCTCTTTAATATCCTATCGACAACTCTCCTTTACCAACTATCATGATGTTTCCTTCACAGACTAGACTATCCTGACGATTGCTACATGTCATGTGACAATGTTTCCTGTCCAAAGCTCCTACTTTCATCTCTCCCATGTTCAGGTTTTGTTTTCTTACCGTTTTTTCGCTATACTTTCGTCCTTGTTGTATATTTCCAATGTCATATATTTTCTTAGTTAATTCGTGAGCATCCTTCATCAACAAAGAGAACGTTGCCGCCCAAGGTAAGTATAATTATGCCATATTTACCAAAAACATAAAGCCCGTTTATTTTTCTGCATAGCACGTGACCCATGTATACCCTTCCGGAGCACGTGGTCTTATTTGTATTGTGATAAACTTAAGCAATGATCCAAACCTTCATGTATTTCCTCCACCCGTTAAGATCTGTAATTATATGTAATTCTTCACTGACAGTTTTTAAACATCAACATGCTGGCTCCCACCATCACTTATAGGATTGCATCCATTGTATCATGAAAACATTTGCTGGTGACCAATGGGTTTGATTGAAGACTGCTCAGTAAGGAGACACCACGATTGGTATTTGATGGAATTCGTTGCCTTATCTGTGTATTTTGTTTTATTATCATTTCCTCCTCTGGTTCGTCTATCTGCTCAGATATAAGTTTAAACCGTTTATGATAGTAGTATATATAACATGTTCGTTAAGTGTTTATAGTTTATATAACATAAGCATATACTTTGCTGACTCTTTGTTTTAATGTAATATCAATATGTCTTAATGTGGACAGGGACTAGAGTTAAGTTGTCATTATTATGCGACAATATTAAACTACAACTGTAGTATTAATAAGTCATATCTGGTCAGGAAGTAGCCAAAAAGACCAAGCTAACTTCCTATACGTCGAGCAAATCAATTACAAAGGAATGGATAAAGTCTTCTTATAATCTGAAATACGATTTGTTATACTACTGTAGAGGATGTGTGCAGGGTTCGGGGGTCAAAAGATGAACGTTTAGATAATTGATCCTGAGGCTAACAACCCGAAACAATCTGTTTTATGTTTAGAAGTGGTGCCGTTTGTTACTGGTTGTTTTATGTTTAGAAGTGATGTCGTTTGTTGATATTTGTTTTATGTTTAGTAACGGTGTCGTTTGTTGATGGTTGTTTTATATTTAGTGACGGTGTCGTTTGTTGATGTTTGGTTAATGTTAAGTAACGGTGTCGTTTGATAATGTTTGTTTTATGTTTAGTAACGGTGTCGTTTGTTGATGGTTGTTTTATGTTTAGTAACGATGTCGTTTGTTGATGTTTGTTTTATGTTTATTAACGGTGTCGTTTGTCGATTGTTGTTTTATGTTTAGTAACGGTGTCGTTTGTTGATATTTATCTTATGTTTAGTGACGGTGTCGTTTGTTGATGTTTGTTTTATGTTTAGTGACGGTGTCGTTTGTTGATGTTTGTTTCATGTTTACTGACGGTGTCGTTTGTTGATGTTTTGTTTATGTTAAGTAACGGTGTCGTTTGCTGATGTTTGTTTTATGTTTAGTAACGGTGTCGTTTGTTGATGGTTGTTTTATGTTTAGTAACGGTGTCGTTTGTTGATGGTTGTTTTATGTTTATTACCGGTGTCGTTTGTTGATGTTTGTTTTATGTTTAGCAACAGTGTCGTTTGCTGAAGGTTGTTTTATGTTTAGTAACGGTGTCGTTTGTTGATGGTTGTTTTATGTTTATTACCGGTGTCGTTTGTTGATGTTTGTTTTATGTTTAGCAACAGTGTCGTTTGCTGAAGGTTGTTTTATGTTTAGTAACGGTGTCGTTTGTTGATGGTTGTTTTATGTTTATTACCGGTGTCGTTTGTTGATGTTTGTTTTATGTTTAGCAACAGTGTCGTTTGCTGAAGGTTGTTTTATGTTTAGTAACGGTGTCGTTTGTTGATGGTTGTTTTATGTTTAGTAACGGTGTCGTTTGTTGATGGGTGTTTTATGTTTAGTAACGGGGTCGTTTGTTGATGTTTGTTTTATGTTTAGTGACGCTGTCGTTTGTTGATGTTTGTTTTATGTTTAGTAACGGTGTCGTTTGTCGATTGTTGTTTTATGTTTAGAAACAGTGTCGTTTGTTGATTGGTGTTTCATGTTTAGTGACGTTGTCGTTTGTTGATGTTAGTTTTATGTTTAGTAACGATGTCGTTTGCTGATGGGTGTTTTATGCTTAGTAACGGTGTCGTTTGTTGATGGTTGTTTTATGTTTAGTGACAGTGTCGTTTGTCGATTGTTGTTTTATGTTTAGTAACGGTGTCGTTTGTTGATGTCTGTTTTATGTTTATTGACAGTGTCGTTTGTCGATTGTTTTTTATGTTTAGTGACAGTGTCGTTTTTCGATTGTTGTTTTATGTTTAGTAACGGCGTCGTTTGTTGATGTCTGTTTTATGTTTACTGACGGTGTCGTTTGTTGATGTTTGTTTTATAATTAGTAATGGTGTCAAGTCGATTGTTGTTTTATGTTTAGTAACGGTGTCGTTTGCTGATGGGTGTTTTATGTTTAGTAATGGTGTCGTTTGTTGATGGTTGTTTTATGTTTAGTGACGGTGTCGTTTGTTGAAGGTTGTTTTATGTTTAGAAGTGGTGTTGTTTGTTGATGTTTGGTTTATGTTTAGAAGTGGTGTCGTTTGTCTATGGTTGTTTTATGGTTAAATGCTTTATGGTAGCTTGTGATTATTCGACATAAACTATAAACCGAAGTTGAATTTTCGGAGTTTATAAAAGAATCGTGTATATCTATAAGCTCCCTGTATCGGAAATGCAGGTGCCCTATAGTAATCACTCTGTCTGTCTGTCCGCTTGTCCGTCCTCAAATTTTGTTCCCGGCTAATAACTTTGGTATTAATTGACCGATGTACATGAAACTTGGTCAAGATGTTCAGTTCACAAAAATACACACTTAGGTAAATTGACCAAAGGTCAAGGTCATAAGGTTCAAAGGTCCAGGTCAACTTTTGCATCTTTCACTGGTGACTATTTCGTTATGATGCTTTGGAGCAATGTTGCTCGGAATTAAACAAGGAGTCAACTGACCAAAGGTCATAGTCACTGGGTCAATGTCAAGGTCAAATATTGTATTTTTTTTCTGAAGAACATTATTTTTATGTTATTATGAAGCAAAGTTGTTCAGAACTTAACACCAATTCAAATGAACTAAGGTCAAGATTACGGGGTCCAAAGGTTTAAGGTCAAGGTCAAGTTTTGTATTTTTCACTGATGAACATTTTGTTTTGATATTATGAAGCAATGTATGTCGGAATCAAAGAATAAGTCAACTGTCCAAAGATCAGGGTCACTGGGTTAAGGTCAAGGACATTTGGGTCCAAAGGTCAAAGACAAAATGGATCTCTGACTTGGACCCTGGCTCTTGATGGAGGAGGTATTCAAAGTGAAACAAAACATATCAAAGCTAACAAATGAGTATTGCACCGGTATTTACATTTCCGTAAGCCTAGCAACAGGTGGAAGGAAACAAGACTCACATCATAGTACATGTAAAATGTATATTTTGTTTCCTTGAGATTCTTTTCGAAGTCAAAATATCAGACCTCAAGCCCAGCTTTATGGGCAGATTGCTTCTGGATGATTATGGCGAATATATTGCCACACGACGGGGCCCTTACTGACTTGTCAATGTTCTAGTTGTAATCGGTTAAAATCTCAAAACGAAATAATCACTTGAAATTACCGACAGGAACAGCCATACTAAAACAGACTTTTTTACAATTTAAGGTGACAACAGTACAATTTATTTCTCTTTTGATAGATTAATTTTTAAAAATTTTGATTAATATGAGATATAGATATATTCGTTCATTTAACATCTATAATTCATCAACCTAGACTCTAATATAAATAACAAAAATTAAAAAAGAACGAAAATTAAACACATTTTGTGATTATGTTTATGGTTATTGACATGACAGGAGCTCTAATTAGATTGATAGTAAAATTGGAATCCGCTCATTTGAACTCGTGGGATGAAGATTATCAGTTCGAGGAAAACCGGGTATTCGACGAATTCGAGGTTCGTCCGACATCGTCATTTTTTTTATTAGACAGGACGACAGACAGTAGGAGCACTGCAACTATAGCAGATAGTAGATGATCAAAAGTAAAAAAGAAGTTTCATAAAAATGACAACATTTAATAAGATACAAAATAGCTGAACAATGAAACGCATAGTCATCGGTATCAATATAGTTTTTCACATCAAGTGAATAAACGCTAAATCATCACGTACTGATATGGATAATGTCTTTCACACTTTAAAGGATATTTCATATTCTTCCAATTTTGTTGAAGCGATTTCATTGTCATTTGGTTCTTATTACAGTGTTTTCATTTTATTATTTTCAGTTATTGATAAATAAAAAATAAATATAAAAAACGCTCCAAAAATACTTTGTAAACTAAATATAAAATTGTACTTTATTTTTCAAGATTGATAGTTATTTATGATCTTACTACTTATGTTCAGTAAAGTGAAAAATACTTTACATATTTTATATGCATTAACCGTTATCATGTTTTGTTTGCCTGATCAATCCTCCCGACAACTTAATCTCTGGTCGTGATATGCACTCTTATCACATCAACCAAGCTATTGACATGATTGACCGGGCGTCGAAATAAATATCGATATACACCACGAAATGCTGTCACAGTAAAAATGCATTATGTGCACATTTCAACAACACTACGCACCATCATTGCATCTGTGACATGTGTTCTTCAACAGTTTGGATATGCTGTTCGGTGTTTTTTTCTTCCCTTATTTATCACTGCACATAGGTTTAATGGTACACTTTGTTATACACGTATTATACACGTGATCAATTCAATATGATAATGATTTTGTTAAATCATGTCAGTATAAATTAAGCCTTCTGTAGTATTGCAGACTTTAGAATCTCGATGAGGTCTTTATCTTGTGATTAACTCTCGACCTTTTCAAAATAGCTTTTCAATGATGAATAAGGATATCTATCAATTAATTGAGTATGGATTCAAACGTACACATGCTTTTCTTTTAGCTTAAGATTTTCTTTCAATTACATGCATTTGAATGTTATAATAATCGGACCCATGTGAATGGTTCTATTTTGGGGGAAAAAGTTTAAAAAAAAAAGTAGTTTTTAAGTTGTAGAAGTGCTATTGGTACATTGTTGACTTCTCTGTGCATGCTATTTCCAGGTATTTGGAGTAGTCCACATTTAGTCAAGCTGCTCTACGGACGAGTTATAGTTCTATCGTTTTTCCCGTCATTAAACTTGTCTTTTATTGCATATTGTAGGCTGATTCTAGGTTTTTAATGTTCTAATCACAGTAACACCATTAGATGCAATAGTTTCTTATCTTTAAATGAGATAACAAAACAACAATAACAAAAACATATAAATATATACATGTATAAAACACTGTAAAAAGAGTTTCTTAGTACTTCCCTATATAAATACATTATATATATTTTACCTTTAAATTTATCAAACTGGTAGAAAAAAACACTAATCTGCAGTTAAAGTTGCGGCAGATTTCAGCCAAAAGATGTCAAAGAGGATATTACTAGCCGCTGCGGAAAGTGGCAATATATCACATCAGAGGTGGCATCAGGTAACACCTTAATATCATGATACATCGATGGTCGCTTTCAGATCAACGCTGATAATTCGGTCGTTCGTTTATTTGGAGAGAAAGATCAATCCCCTATTCAATTGTCGTAATTGGGAACTCTTAATTGAAACAATGGAATGACGTCACATTTTCAGGATAGTAATTTGTGCTGTGGTTTGGGTAATTACCGCTGTCAATGTGACGTAAGTATTGTAATACTCCACTTAAAGGTCTCTTTACCTTCAACGGTGGCAGCCATAATTTCACAAGGAGCTACAAAGTATATAATCACATCTACTTATCATGAATTGTTTATGTTTGGGCAGATTGACAATGAGTCGTCGCCACAGAAGGCTGTCAAGATCGCACCGATAGCTGGGGGCGCCACGGGAGGAGTGATAGTGCTTGTAATCGTGGTGGTGTTGGTGATAAAATGGCGGAGAAGACAGCCACAACAGGTATGTCCTCCAGCTTCTCCTCCTCCCTTCGTCCTCTTCCCTCTTCACACTCGAAATCCGTCCCGAAGATTCCAATCCATTTTCCTGATACTGATGATTGGTTTAAGCATTTTGATTTGACACGCGTTTAACGCTGACAGACATCTTATATTTGATGTTTTCATTTTTGATTCTAAATCAGTTTTTTGTTCTTCAACAGGCAAGCCAAAAGGATCAGTCACTAATGAAAAACACAAATATTTCGTATAATTCAACAAATGAAGTAGATTTGCACATCAAGGGCCATCAAAATTCAGTTGATCACCAAGACGGACAATTTGGAGCAGAGAAAGATAAACGACACGACAATCCGATATATCATGAGGATGAACAGACCCAATTGTGATGCGTTTTCTGCTAAGTTTGTATGCATTGTAATTCACGTGACATGTCTTGTATAAAAATAGCCCGACATGTCACGTGAAATTAATTCAAACTATGGTTTAAGCAATTGGTCCTGGAAGACTTAATCAAATACTTTTAGCAAAAACGCATTTAACGGATAACGCATTGGACTGTGAGAAAGAGGTACCCAATAAATGTGACCATATATAACCTCCTGTGATAAATAGATGTGACCAATTAATGTGACCATCATTAACATCATGGAAAACAGAGGTGATCGTTGGAGGTGACCAGGTGTAACCTCCTGTAAGATAGAGGTGACCTATATAGGTGACAAGGTTTAACCTCCTGTAAGATAGAGGTGACCGATGGAGGTGACCAGATGTAACCTCCTGTAAGAAAGAGGTGACCGATATAGGTGACCAGGTGTAACCTCCTGTAAGATAGATGTGACCGATGGAGGTGACCAGATGTAACCTCCTGTAAGAAAGAGATGACCGATATAGGTGACCATGTGTAATTTCCTGTAATATAGAGGTGACCAGATGTAACTTCCTGTAAGATAGAGGTGACCAGGTGTAAACTCCTGTAAGATAGATGTGACCAGGTGTAACCTCCTGTAAGATAGATGTGACCAGGTGTAACCTCCTGTAAGTTAGATGTGACCAGGTGTAACCTCCTGTAAGACACAGGTGACCAGGTTTAACCTCCTGTAAGATAAAGGTGACCAGGTGTTACCCCATGTAAGATAAAGGTGACCAGGTGTAACCTCCTGTAAGATAGAGGTGACCTATATAGGTGACCAGGTTTAACCTCATGTAAGATAAAGGTGACCAGGTGTAACCTCCTGTAAGATACAGGTGACCAGGTGTAACCTCCTGTAAGATAGAGGTGACCAGGTGTAACCCCCTGTAATATAGAGGTGACCAGGTGTAACCTCCTGTAAGATACGTTGACCAGGTGTAACCTCCTGTAAGATACAGGTGACCAGGTTTAACCTCCTGTAAGATAGAGGTGACCAGGTGTAACCCCCTGTAATATAGAGGTGACCAGGTGTAACCTCCTGTAAGATAAGTTGACCAGGTGTAACCTCCTGTAAGATACAGGTGACCAGGTTTAACCTCATGTAAGATACAGGTGACCGATGGAGGTGACCTGGTGTTATCTTCTGTGGGATAGAGGTGACCGTATAGGTGATCAGGTTTAACCTCATGTAAGATAGAGGTGACCAGGTGTAACCTCCTGTAATATAGAAGTAACCTGGTGTAACCTCCTGTAAGACACAGGTGACTAGGTTTAACCTCCTGTAAGATAGAGGTGACCAGGTGTAACCTCCTGTAAGATAGAGGTGACCGATGGAGGTGACCTGGTGTTATCTTCTGTGGGATAGAGGTGACCGTATAGGTGACCAGGTTTAACCTCCTGTAAGATAGAGGTGACCAGATGTAACCTCCTGTAATATAGAAGTGACCAGGTGTAACCTCCTGTAAGATACAGGTGACCAGGTGTAACCTCCTGTAAGACACAGGTGACCAGGTGGAACCTCCTGTAAGATAGAGGTGACCAGGTTTAACCTTCTGTAAGATAGAGGTGACCAGGTGTAACCTCCTGTAATATAGAGGTGACCAGGTGTAACCTCCTGTAAGATACAGGTGACCAGGTGTAACCTCCTGTAAGATACAGTTGACCGATGGAGGTGACAAGGGGTAACCTCCTGTAAGATATAGGTGACCAGGTTTAACCTCCTGTAAGATACAGGTGACCGATGGAGGTGACCTGGTGTTATCTTCTGTGGGATAGAGGTGACCGTATAGGTGACCAGGTGTAACATCCTGTAAGATAGATGTGACCGATGGAGGTGACCTGGTGTTATCTTCAGTGAGATAGAGGTGACCGATAGAGGTGACCAGGTGTAACCTCCTTTAAGATAGATGTGACCAATGAAGGTGACCTGGTGTTATCTTTTGTGAGATAGAGGTGACCGATAGAGGTGACTAGGTGTAACCTCATGTAAGATACAGGTGACACACCACATGAGTACACGATATAGAAATACAATTGTGCTGGTCAGAGAGATCGAATCGGACAGTTATGAATACTAGATGATGAAATGTATGCTGTATTATAATGATAAATTGTACTTTGGAAACTGGAAACACAATTAATTGTTTATACCGGAGATCATAATTCATTATAGAAACTAGAGATCATGCTTGCTTGGTAACATTATGTTATAAAAATTAGCACATTATATACAGTTGTATGACTGTCAATTATATCCTGACGTTTATGTCAAGTATTTCATGATGTTTATGTCAATTATATCATGATGTTTATGTCAATTATATCTTGAAAACGTTCCTTAAAACGTCCTCTATATTGTTGACGTTTTCATTGAAGAAATATTTTCTGGTTTCGATTTTGTTGATGTGTTTTTGTATCCTGCTTCAAATTGTTATTTACTTAAATTAATTTGAATTCATTTATGGTTTATAACTCGGTCTTATGGTAACATATTTGCTTGGAGAGTTCGAGTAATGTTCTATGACTTTGTTGTAAGTCTAGGAAGGTTAGCTGAAGTTGTCTCATTTTTACTTAAATTTTCCTTCATATCAATAAAATTTAAATTTGTCCGTTTATTACCCGTACAAACAATAATGCTACCTGATGTTTGCCATATAGTTATTATCACCTAAGGCACCTTGTACACAATGTATCATCTGTATGTCTATACGGAAAACATCTCTAATATGTATACACTCTACATAAAAGCAACAGCACCATTGAAACTTAACTTTTATGCATTTACAGTCATCATTATGACATTCTTTATCAGGTTGACGTTGCCATTTAAGTATTTAGTAACCCGTATCTAGTTACATGTAATATCTGCCTTTGCAAAAGGGACTATCCGAAAAAAAGTTACATTTCCGTCAGAGTATGAGGCCGGTACGATGGACAATTGTAAAACTGAAACTTTTTTCTAGACACGAATTGTCACGTGTCAGCGTTTACTCTGTATAGATGATTCTGACACTGTTATCTGTGTGGTAGCGGACTGCGTAGTCAACTCAGTGTGTGCTCTCTATCTGATATGATCAGTGGGATTAATGCGAACATGACTTCTTCCTAGTTGTTGTTGATTGGTCACTGTGGATCTGACTACTTCAGCTGTACTGACGATTTGTTTACAAATTCAGTCAGATAAAATGATTATAAATGCAACCGTACACGTGTTGGATCGGAAAAGGTAAAGGCACTACGATAATATATTAAATGTTAAGTGGCACATGGAGAATGGAGTAATACATTATGTAAGTGGTCACAAATACCACAGGTAACAACACATAACATGTGTGTCACACATGGCAAAGATGGAATCACAGATTTATAGGTACACGTAGTAAGTCATGACAAAGGTAGAAACAAATGGCATAGGTAGTACATTATGGCAACTNGATATTACATAGCATATCTATTTTTATTATAATTATTACCTTTATATTTTCCAAATTAGGGTTACAATTGCATTCCATATTAATAAACACCAAATAATGTAATACTTGAAACAGAACAATGGATAAATATTTCATACATGTAACAAACATGTATTTATCTTATACGGACACTATGCACATTTCATATTTACCTTAACGGTCATATAAGCATGTACATATATAAGTCAAGAAAGTGTCATACATACGTTTGTAGCTACCAGTTACACATACATGTAATGCTATATAGGGTTACTCTCAAATCAGCTGCTGTAAATCTTTTTACATTTTTCAGACCTATACCAAAGAGATAATTCTGTCACGTTAAAAAAAACCAGAATGTACCGTAGCTATCATCTGTTATAACACATTGAAATGGTGTGATGTGGAATATCACTAAATGTAACCTAGCTTTCATTTTTAAATACATTCAAATGTTGTGATGTGGAATATCACAAAATGTAACCTAGCTTTCATTTTTAAATACATTCAAATGTTGTGATGTGGAATATAACAAAATGTAACCTAGCTATCATCTTTTTAATACATTTAACTGCTGTGATGTGGAATATAACAAAAAGTAACCTAGCTATCATCTTTTTTAATACATTCAAATGTTGTGATGTGGAATATAACAAAATGTAACCTAGCTATCATCTTTTTAATACATTCAAATGTTGTGATGTGGAAAATAACAAAATGTAACCTAGCTATCATATTTTTTTAAGATATTTAAATGGTGTGATGTGGAAAATAACAAAATGGAACCTAGCTATCATCTTTTTAAGATATTTAAACGGTGTGATGTGGAATATAGCAAAATGGAACCTAGCTATCATATTTTTTTAAGATATTTAAATGGTGTGAAGTGGAATATAACAAAATGTAGCCTAGCTATCATCTTTTTAATACATTTAACTGTTGTGATGTGGAATATTACAAAATGTAGCCTAGCTATCTTCTGTTATCATACACTGAACTGGTGTGATGTGGTATAAACATAATGGAACACGCGTGCATGTATTATATTTTTTAATCGCAAACTGTTCAAGTCTATCCGTTATAATGTCAAGGTAATCGGGGACAATTCATTGAGTGACGTCAAATTCAACAGAAATTCCCTGCTGATGTTAGCCGCCTTACGAAAATGTGGAGGATAAGAAAGCAGACCTTGACATTGTTCCGCCATTTGTTACACCAGTTTAAATGTTTCATATCGGAAGAAACCACAAAAAAGCATAACAAAATACTGTGGGTTTTTTCAGTGTAAGAATAAAGCAAATTTCAATCTAAAAATAAAGCTTGGAAGGTTTATTGTATCCTGTTATATGTGCCTATATATACAGGGAGAGAGATTTTTGTACTATGTCAATAGCTTTTTAAAATAGCATTTACGCAATATCATTTGTTTATTGGCAATGCAGTTGCATATTGTATTTTAGACTTCAGGTCTACCTTGCCCATGACTAGGCCCGTCGGCTAAGCCAAGTCACCCCTGCAGGTCGGGGATTGCGAAAAATTACACCTACTGTACCCACTGCATAACCCTGTAGGATTAGGGACTTGCTTGTATTCTCTCTTCTTGGGGACACAAAAGCAACCAAATTTAAGTTGTTGCTTCATTACAATATTTGGGTTTTTTCTATTTCTCTCTTATTCCAATCTCTTTGTTTCCTCGCGCCTTGCAAGACAAAGCCTCACTTTTGGCTTTGCTGTTGAACGCATGCCAGGACATACCAAAGTCCTTGAAAATGGTAGTTGTTATTCCCTTTTAACGTTCAGCAGTTACGGTAATGGCAACACCTGGTGCACTCATTGTCATGCTGTCCTGAGTTCCTTCAGCATGGTATTGCTGTGAGGTAGCACTATAAAGATAAGTCGGCATCAGATCCGCTTTATCATAAAGAGGCAATTACACCAGCGTACTCTGTCTCCAGCACACATACACAGAGACATGCATACACAATACACATTGAGACACGTCCTTAAATGGTCTTAGCTGTTTATAGAACGTTAAACTAATCAAGTGCAAGGTAGTCCTCCCCATAATACTCCAGATGAATTTGGAGACTGAAGCCGACGACCTGTTACTTTAACACGAAAATAATGTGTTTTATTTGAGAAAGCTTTCTCTTTTAATTTCAAATGATTTCTAAGCGGAGTGTGTTAATATCCTTTTCACATTATGATGGATTTTGCTGCGATACATGTTTATTGTTCTGGATAAAATGCAACATTTTTAGTCCAGAGTACAGATGCACGCAAACTGTCATTTTCTTTAACATTCAAAGGTTAGCCTAAATCCCATAGTAAATGTCTATTGTATGAACCATAATATCTTATCTTTATGTAAATTGTGTGTCTTACATAACGTTTCATATTTGATGAATAAAGACATGAATAAAT